TTGTGATCTGGTTGAGACCACGGTAGTCAATACATGGGCGTAAACCCCCATCCTTCTTCTTCACAAAAAAAGAAACTTGAAGACGCAGGGGAAGTGGACGGCCGTATGTATCCCTGTCTCAAGAGATTCGGCGACATATGTCTCCATAGCCGCCGTCTCCTCCTGAGACATGACTTCGGGGAAGCGCAGCGCCTACTTGGAGGTTTATCGCACAATCCCCCTGTCAATGGGGTGGTAATTGAGTCGCCTTCTTTTTACAGAAGGCGAGAGCCAAATCGGCATATTCAGGTGGAATGTGCATGGTGGGAACTTGGTTCGGACTTTCCACCATAGTTGCCCCTACGGAAACACCTACACACCTCCCAAACACTGATTAGACCATCCCTTGAGAGCCCTCTGTTGCCATGAAATGTTGGGGTCATGAGAAGTTAACCAGGGAAGCCCCAACACCAAGGGAAACGCAGGAGAATCAATCATGGCCCTCCTGCGTTTTCATCCTGAGAGGCGCCGTGACCTCCCTAATCAACCCAGACCCCAAAGGGCGGCTATCTAGGGCATGGATAGGGAAGGGCACATCAACTGGAACAATAGGAATCCCTAACTTATAGGTGAAGTGGCGATCGATAAAATTCCCAGCTGCGCCTGAATCTACTAGCGCCTTATGCTGGGAATGAGGAGAAACCTCGGGAAACACAACTTTAATACACATATGCGTAACAGGGAGATCTGGGTGAGTTGGGTGCCTACTCACCTGGAATGACTCATCAGTGCGCTGCCTACTGCCTCGATTCCTAGGAGACCCTCCCCAGCACCGACCAGCAGTGTGTCCTCTGAGGCCACAGTTGTTGCAGGGGACGGCCTCTCTCCTGGTCTCCCTTGTGCCAGCAACTCCGAGCTCCATAGGGGTCGGCTCGGAGGTACTGGGGGATGGAATGGACGGCCCCGAGTCCGGACGTCCGCGGGTAGCCAACAGGGTATCCAGGAGAATCGACATATCCACCAGTTGGTCGAAGCTTAGGTTGGTGTCCCTGCAGGCCAATTCCCGACGCACGTCCTCCCTCAGGCTACATCTGTAGTGGTCGATGAGGGCCCTCTCATTCCATCTCGCGTTGGCAGCCAGCGTCCGGAAGTCCAGTGCGAACTCCTGTTTGCTCCTCCTCCCCTGTCTGAGGTGGAATAGACACTCACCCGCCGCTTTACCCTCTGGTGGATGATCGAATACTGCCCTGAAGCGGCGGGTGAACTCCGCATAGTTGACAGTAGCGGCGTCTATTCCCCCCCACTCGGCGTTGGCCCACTCCAGCGCCTTGCCGGACAGACAGGAGATGAGGGCGGACACGCTCTCGTATCCCGAGGGCACCAGGTGGATGGTTGCCAGGTAGAGTTCGACCTGAAGCAGGAAACCCTGACACCCGGCAGCTGTGCCATCATAAGCCCTCGGGAGCGAGAGCCGAATCCCACTGGACCCCGGAGGTGAAGCGATGGGCATCGCTGATGGTGGTGGTATCGTCGGAGGAGGTGAAGGCAAACCTCCTCTTTCCCATCGCTCCATGGTGCTCACCACCCATTTTATGGCAGTGCCGAGAGCCTGGATCATGGCCGCTTGTTGTTCTACGCGTTCTTCCATTGATCCAGCTGGCACCGCCGCTCCTGCTGACTCCATGTCTTGGTGTGTGATTCTGTCAGTGCGACGTGTATGCGGTGGGTGAAGTCAAGAGCAGGACACCGAGCTACTGGTACTTTACTGTACAAAGTAAATACAAAGTAACAAAACAAACCTCCAAACAGAGAGGAACAACTAACCCGCACACAAAATAGCAACAGCCGAAAATGACGAAAAACAATCACACACAATACACAATGAGAGACAGAGGGTTATAAAGGGAATACAATACAACATAATTGGAAACAGGTGTAAACAATAAAGACCAGACAAGACAACCACCGAAACATAGATTGGTAGCAGCTAGTACTCCGGGGACGACGAACACCGAAGCCTGCCCGAGCAAGGAGGAGGAGCAGCCTCGGCTGAATCTGTGACAGGCAGAGGTATTGCTGCCTACCTTCACCACCTTGGGTTGGCCCCTCAAGAAGTCTTGGACCCAGTTGCACATGGAGGGGTTCAGACCAAGGTTCCTGAGCTTATTGATGAGCTTAGAGGGCACTGTGGTTTTGAAGGCTGTGCTGTAGTCGATGAACAGCATTCTTAAATAGGTATTCCTCTTGTCCAGGTGGGTTAGGGCATTGTGCAGTGCAATGGCCATTGCGACGTCCGTGGATCTGTTGGGGCGGTATGCAAATTGTAGTGGGTCTAGGGTGTCGGGGAAGGTGGAGGTGATATGATCCTTAACTAGCCTCTCAAAGCACTTCATGGTGTCAGAAGTGAATGCTATGAGTAGGTAGTCATTTAGTTCAGTTACCTTTGCTATCTTTGGTACAGGAACAATGGTGGACATCTTGAAGCAAGTGGGGACAATAGACTGGGATAGGGGGAGATTGAATATGTCCATAAACACTCCAGCCAGACTTGGCCATGGAAATCGTAAGCACACAGTCCTTGTGAGTGGCGGGGGCCAACGTTGGCTGCTCGTGTTGCTTTCTATGAAGCAGGCAAAGAAGGTATTTCACTTGTCTGGGAGCAAGGCGTCGGTGTTTGTGACGTGGCTGGCTTCCCCTTTATAATCGGTGATTGTCTGGAGTCCCTGCCACATGCGTCTCATGTCTGAGCCTTGGAATTGCGACTCCACTCTGTCCCTGTACTGTCGTTTTGCCTCTTTGATTGCCTTACAGAGGTCAAAGCTAGTCTGTTTGTATGCGTACAGTGGTTTGCACCTTTTTCTTTGTGCGAATCCTGCCATCTATTCACGGGTAGGAGCAGGATGGAAGCGTGATCTGATTTGCCGAAGGGAGGACGGGGGAGGGCCTTATAGCCGTCCCGGAAGGGAGAGTAACAATGGTCAAGCGTGTTCTCTCCGCGTGTAGCACAGGAGATGTGTTGGTAGAATTTCGAGAGCATTATCCTCAGATTTCCTTTATTAAAGTCCCCAGCAACAATAAATGCGGTCTCAGGATATATGGTTTCCAGTTTGCACAAAGTCCAGTGTAGTTCCTTGTGAGCCATCGCTGTGTCGGTGTGGCAATGAAGGAGTCAGGCGCAGGAGGGTAAATCACAGAATAACAGGTTTATTCTGTTGACACAGCGTTACGCAGCAACGCGTCAAACCCTCGAGTGCGGAAATATACAGTGTACTGGAAACAACAAGGCACACAGGTGAACATCCCAGCGATACAAAATACACCGAGCTAAACTAACCTCCACAATAAGCAATCACACACAAAGACAAGGGGGCAGAGGGAACACTTATACAGGTACTGATGAGGGGAATTGAAAACCAGGTGTGTGTAATAAACAAGACAAAACAAATGGAATGATGAGATATGGAGCGGCAGTGGCTAGAAGACCGGTGAAGACGAACACCGAAGCCTGCCTGAACAAGGAGAGGAGGCAGCTTCGGAGGAAGTCGTGACAGTCGGCTCGGAGGGAAATATACACGGCAGTGACAATAACCAAATAACATTTTCTCGGGAGGTAATGCTGTCGGCATTTGATGGTGAAGTATTCCAGATTGGAAGAACAAAATGAATTGAGTTCCTGTACGTTACCACAATCACAACATGAGTTGTTAATCATGAGACATACCCCTCCATCTCTGTTTTTCCCAGAGAGTTCTTTCTTCCTGTCCGTGCGAAGAACGGAGACCACCGCTGGCTGTATGGACGGGGACAATATATCCGGAGAGAGCCATGATTTCGGAAACAGAGTATGTTACAGTCCCTTATGTCTCTCTGAATGGAGATCCTCTACCATATTACCCAAACCAGTCCTTTCTTTGAAGGTCCATGAGGGAGTGAACAAGTGCACACTTTGGGAAGGATTTAGTGGGAGAAATGGAATTGGCCTCATGTTGCTTGCATGTTTGCTTGCAAGGCCGGAATTCAATCACAGTGTGCATACAACCTTTGTTTCAGATACAATTATGGCACTGCTGCAACAATAAAGAGTATTCTGGGAACCTTATAACAAGACACCTTATAGCTAGAATCCTTAGTAGAAACAAAATCAAAGCGGACACCCTGCCTCTGTTTTGGTAAAAAGCTGAGGGATAGGCCTGGATAAATGTAACCACTCTCAAATTCATAGACGGAGCCATGGATGCAAGGAATCCATGATATAATTTTTTTTGTTGTAACCATGTTTTAAGGCTGAACAGTGTTTGCTTACAATTACATTGTTTACAAATATGGAGTCAAACAAGCTTATATTTTGGGTTATGATGGGGTATGACAGTTGAACTAAGCTCATGAGGCATGTATAAGTTATATTCTTGAAGAAACAATGGGTATATATCAGGGGTATTCAAATCTTACCCTATGAGGTCCGGCGCCTGCTGGTTTTCTGTTCTACCTGATCACTAATATCCCAGGTCAAAATTAGTCCTTGATTAGAGGGGAATATTTTTTTTAAAGCAGTGGAACTGGCTTCAAGGTCCAGATTTGAATTTGAGGGGTATATATAATTTATTTATGAGTCCAAAAATGGATGTAGCAACTGCAGATTCTAGCTTTGAAAATTATAATGGCATTGGGTAGTGATGAATGATGTGTTCACCCACTTTCAAAGTAAAACATTTACTAAGCCATTCAATGCTAAATAACAATACATTAGATAGAAATAGATGCTAAATACATTTTTGTTTTGATATGTTTTTTTATAAACAATACTCATTATTAAGCATCTGTACAACATCATGTATTGCATGATATCAGACAATTGCAAAACTATTTGTGTAGTAGAGTAGCTAAATCATTAAGATACAGCAGAGACACTCTCTTTCTGTGGATCAGTTGATCTTCAGAAATCTTTTCATCAAGCTCTGTTTTATATATTTTGTGTTGAAACAGTATATCAGTGGATTGATCATAGGAGGGAGCAGGCTTTACAACATGATGATAATAACAATACGTAAATCAGTGCTGAATCTAATGCCGATATTACTGGACAGATAAATACAGAACCTGGGTAGAATATAGAGGGCAATGATGATCAGCTGACCACTGCAGGTAGAAAGGGTTTTGAGGCGGCCTTGGGTGCTCGCAATCTTAAGAACTGCAACAATAATGCAGTAAGCAGTCGAGGGTGTAGATCAGATCGTATTTGACAGGTAATACTGCAATAATCCAATTGTGATCCGTTACTATATATGCTTTACGCTAACACTTGACATTTTATTAAAAGTGCATTTAACAGTAGATAACATTTCATACGGTTCGAATGGGCTAAAATGTCAGATCAAAATCAAATTTTGACTGACATTTAATTGAGTTGTCAACAAACATCAAAATAATCTAAATCAGGAATGTCAGTGTCTACTGATTTTTGATATTTCCTTACAATTTGTGTCCTATTAAGACCTAGAGTATCAGGTGAGGGGAGTTCCTAACTAACCAGTGGCCTTAAGTGATCAGTCAGGTACAAGGCAGGAGTGAAAACCCGCAGACACTTTGCTCTCCATGGAATGAGTTTGACACCTGTGATCTAAATCAACCAAACCTTGACACTCTATTGATGATTCACAGTTGAAACCTGATGTGTTAAATTGAGATGAAACCGCTGATGACTTTTAGCAAATTCAATCAAAACTCAACATTGATGCAACGTGATTACATTGATGATGAAAAACATGGAAACAATGTTGACTAAACCACTTTTGCTTGGAACAAACAAGAGACAAGAAATGGCTTTGGTAACCCTAACCGTTACATATTTGGAGTAATTTCAGTTCTCTTGAAAATATTTTTCAGGCGCCCTCGGATCTCCTTGGTTTTGAGACAATACACAAATGGGTTCACAAGAGAGGGCCCCAGAGTAGAGCCAATAATTAGGCCATTTCTTTGAGAAAGCGTGAGAACCAAACCAAACCTGGTGATCAATATTAACACCACCTTGGGGATAAAGAAGCAAGCCACCACTATAATGTGAGACACACAGGTGTTAAATGTTTTCCCTCTGTCTTTCGATGAAGACATTTTCATCACTTCATAAACTATCTTCATGTATGAGAAGAATATCAGGGCTAAATTAACCAATAACATAGCAGTCGCCACAGTAGAAGCTACGGTGAAATAATATGTAGGATTAACACATGCTGCTCTTACTAAGGCTGCATATTCACAAAAGCTGTATGGGAGTTTATTTGAGCCACAGAAGGGCAGATTGTTCACCATGCCAGTCCACAAACCGGCAAATAAGCAGCCTACTGCCCAAGTGGCTATTATAAGTAAGCATACACTTGTCTTAGTTAAGATAGTCTGATATCGAAGAGGATGTGAAATTGCAATAAGGCGATCATAAGCCATCAGCGCAATAGTAAAGGGTTCCATAGTGCTTCCTAAATGAAATAGGAAGCACTGTATCATGCAGGGTGCATAGCGGACTCTTCTCTCCTCACCAAGAAGAACGTTAAGCATTGTAACACTAATACCGCTGGTGTAGACTATGTCTACCATTGCCAGCGTGCAAATAAAAAGGTACATGGGGGTGTGCAGAGGCTTGTTGAATGCTACAATACAAATGTTGGTGATGCATCCGATCAGAATGAGAAAGAGGATGAACAGAATGGCTGCTCCAACCAGCTTTGGGTGAGGCACATCATCCATTCCTGTGATGATGAATTCTGTTACCGTATATGTTGTTCTGTTGTTTGGCTCCATGTTCCTGTAAAATAATTACAAAAAAAAGAGGCAAAAGATTGTAAATTGATCTACAGTGATTTGCAGAATCTCTAATGGAGAGTGTGCCAGACATGTTTTAAATGTAGGCCAACATCACCAACTCCCAGCACATGCTTGAATATCCCAGCCATGTACCACTATCAGGACAGTATAACTCTGTGATCACTGATACGATCTGTGAAAATAATTGCACAAAAACAGTCTGCATTGTCAAACTGGTGTATTGATTGTAACATAAATTACATAATGAGAATCATATAATTTAGAAAACATAATTTTGGTTACAAGGTCAAGTTTTGTTAATGGATTGTTTAGTTCTATACTTACCAGTCCAGCCTTGTACGCCAGGCTTCTATGCTCTCTTTAAGTGTCAGACACACAGCTGATAGACGACACTCTGACCAGACTGGCATTGGATGTCTCTGAATGTATTCAATTTCTGACTTTCTTATAGTGAGCCACCTTCTCTCAGCCACTTGAGGAATCCCACGTCATGATTCTCATTAGGCAACTATATACTGATTGGTATCCAAAAACAGGTGTAAAAACTGCACACTAGAACATGCATACATGCTGATTGGCTCAAAGGCCTATAAGACACATAAAGACGGACATATTTTGAGTTTTCCTTTTTTCTGTAATTGGTTGAATTGGGCCCTGCGTCCTTTCATGAGTGAACTGTAATCATTGAGGGCCAAATCCCTAATAAGACAACCCAATCTTTCTCATAAATCTTGCGTTGATGACAATGCTGAATTACATGCACAGATCTCAGGATAGGACCTAGTTCTGTGAGGACGTTCCTTCCTCCTCCACATAATTCAGTCACAACACAAATTTAGCAACAGCTAAAGAAGATCGTTTAGCAACAGCGCCGGAAGAAGATGGCTGCCGTTTTACAGCCCTCTAACCAATTGTACTATTATGTGTGTTTTTCCGCGTTATTTGTAATTTATTTTGTACATAATGTTTCTGCCATCGTCTCTTATAACCAAAGAGAGCTTCTGAATATCAGGACAGCGATTACTCACCTCGCGTTGGACGAAGACTTTTTCTTCAACGAGGCGTTCGCGAAGGATATTCTACAGACACCCAACAAGGCCCAGATCCCCGTCATTCGCGTGAGGAAGAGACGGAGATATCGTGGACGCAGATCCGGGTGCCTTGTAAGGATCCGACGGCGAACGAGTAAACTGCCTCTCCCATCAATCCTATTAGCCAACGTTCAAGCTTTTGAGAATAAAATGGACGATTTAAGATTACGGTTATCCTACCAACGGGACATTAAAAACTGTAATATCTTATGTTTCACGGAGTCGTGGCTGAACGACAACAATGACAACATTCAGCTAGCAGGCTATACGCTACATCGGCAGGACAGAACGTCTGACTCTGGTAAGACAAGGGGCGGCGGTCTGTGTATATTTGTAAACAACAGCTGGTGCACAAAATCAAATACCAAGGAAGTCTCGAGGTTTTGCTCGCCTGAGGTAGAGTATCTTATGATAAGCTGTAGACCACACTATTTACCAAGAGAGTTTTCATCTATATTTTTCATAGCTGTCTATTTACCACCACAAACCAATGCTGGCATTAAGATTGCACTGAATGAGTTGTACAAGGCCATTAATCAACAGGAAAATGCTCATCCAGATGCAGCGCTCCTAGTAGCCGGGGACTTTAATGCAGGGAAACTTAAATCCGTTCTACCTCATTTCTACCAGCATGTTAAATGTGCAACCAGAGGGGAAAAAACTCTAGACCACCTTTACTCCACACACAGAGACGCATACAAAGCTCTCCCTCGCCCTCCATTTGGCAAATCTGACCATAACTCTATCCTCCTGATTCCTGCTTATAAGCAAAAACTGAAGCAGGAAGCACCAGTGATTCGGCTAATAAAAAAGTGGTCAGATGACGCAGATGCTAAGCTACAGGACTGTTTTGCTAGCACAGACTGGAACATGTTCCGGGATTCTTCAGACAGCATTGAGGAGTACACCACATCAGTCACTGGCTTCATCAATAAGTGCATCGATGATGTCGTCCCCACAGTGACCGTACGTACATACCCCAACCAGAAGCCATGGATTACAGGAAACATCCGCACTGAGCTAAAGGGTAGAGCTGCCGCTTTCAAGGAACGGGACTCTAACCCGGACGCTTATAAGAAATCCCGCTATGACCTCCGACGAACCATCAAACAGGCAAAGAGTCAATACAGGTCTAAGATTGAATCATACTACACTGGCTCTGACGCTCGTCGGATGTGGCAGGGCTTGAAAACTATTACAGACTACAAAGGGAAGCACAGCCGCGAGCTGCCCAGTGACACAAGCCTACCAGAAGAGCTAAACCACTTCTATGCTCGCTTCGAGGCAAGCAACACTGAAGCATGCATGAGAGCACCAGCTGTTCCGGACGACTATGTGATCACGCTCTCCGTAGCCGATGTGAGTAAGACTTTTAAGCAGGTCAACATTCACAAGGCCGCAGGGCCAGACGGATTACCAGGACGTGTACTCCGAGCATGTGCTGACCAACTGGCAAGTGTCTTCACTGACATTTTCAACATGTCCCTGACTGAGTCTGTAATACCAACATGTTTCAAGCAGACCACCATAGTCCCCGTGCCCAAGAACTCTAAGATAACCTGCCTAAATGACTACCGACCCGTAGCACTGACGTCTGTAGCCATGAAGTGCTTTGAAAGACTGGTCATGGCTCACATCAACAGCATAATCCCAGAAACCCTAGACCCACTCCAATTTGCATACCGCCCCAACAGATCCACAGATGATGCAATCTCTATCGCACTCCACACTGCCCTTTCCCACCTGGACAAGAGGAACACCTACGTGAGAATGCTATTCATTGACTACAGCTCAGCATTCAACACCATAGTGCCCTCTAAGCTCATCACTAAGCTAAGGATCCTGGGACTAAACACCTCCCTCTGCAACTGGATCCTGGACTTCCTGACGGGCCGCCCCCAGGTGGTAAGGGTAGGTAACAACACATCTGCCACACTGATCCTCAACACGGGGGCCCCTCAGGGGTGCGTGCTCAGTCCCCTCCTGTACTCTCTGTTCACCCATGACTGCATGGCCAGGCACGACTCCAACACCATCATTAAGTTTGCCGACGACACAACAGTGGTAGGCCTGATCACCGACAACGATGAGACAGCCTATAGGGAGGAGGTCAGAGATCTGGCCGTGTGGTGCCAGGACAACAACCTCTCCCTCAACGTGACCAAGACAAAGGAGCTGATCGTGGACTACAGGAAAAAAAAGAGGACTGAGCACGCCCCCATTCTCATCGACGGGGCTGTAGTGGAACAGGTTGAGAGCTTCAAGTTCCTTGGTGTCCACATCACCAACGAACTATCATGGTCCAAACACACCAAGACAGTCGTGAAGAGGGCACGACAAAGCCTATTCCCCCTCAGGAGACTAAAAAGATTTGGCATGGGTCCTCAGATCCTCAAAAAATTCTACAGCTGCACCATCGAGAGCATCCTGACTGGTTGCATCACCGCCTGGTATGGCAACTGCTTGGCCTCTGACCGCAAGGCACTACAGAGGGTAGTGCGTACGGCCCAGTACATCACTGGGGCAAAGCTCCCTGCCATCCAGGACCTCTATACCAGGCGGTGTCAGAGGAAGGCCCTCAAAATTGTCAAAGACTCCAGCCACCCTAGTCATAGACTGTTCTCTCTGCTACCGCACGGCAAGCGGTACCGGAGTGCCAAGTCTAGGTCCAAAAGACTTCTCAACAGCTTCTACCCCCAAGCCATAAGACTCCTGAACAGCTAATCATGGCTACCCGGACTATTTGCACTGCCCCCCCACCCCATCCTTTTTACGCTGCTGCTACTCTGTTAAGTATTTATGCATAGTCACTTTAACTCTACCCACATGTACATATTACCTCAACTACCTCAACTAGCCGGTGCCCCCGCACATTGACTATGCAACGGTACCCCCCTGTATATATAGCCTCCCTACTGTCACTTTATTTTACTGTATATATAGCCTCCCTACTGTCACTTTATTTTACTTCTGCTCTTTTTTTCTCAACACTTTTTTGTTGTTGTTTTATTCTTACTTTTTTGTTTAAAATAAATGCACTGTTGGTTAAGGGCTGTAAGTAAGCATTTCACTGTAATGTCTGCACCTGTTGTATTCGGCGCATGTGACCAATACAATTTGATTTGATTTGATTTGATTTGGAATTATCGGCACCCTTGATAAAGATGAGCAAAACATACTATAAAATAAATAATACAAATACTGAGCTATAATGTATGTACATTTTTAAAAATTTGATTATTTTATAATAACACAATTGCTCAAAGAAAAATATTTTCTTTAATAAGTAATACAAAAAATCTAAAAAAAGATAGGTGTCAAAATTCTTATAAATGTGTTCTTCAATGTAATAAAACATTATTAAAAAAAGGCAACGTGCCGTTATCCCCGCAAGGGGAGGGTGCAAAAAGTATTAAAAACAGGGGTGCCAATAATTTTGACACCTATATATTTTTTTGTTGTTGATTTTTTGACTTGTTAAACAACATATTTTTCTCTGAGCAATTGTATTAGTATAAAATAATTTTTATTTTTTATTTTTTTCAGCATAAAAAAGTAGCTCAGTATTTATGTGATTTATTTTAGACAGTATTTTTTGCTCATCTTTATCAAGGGTGCCAATAATTTAGGTCGTGACTGTATTATTTTTGATGATGACTTTGGCTGCTACCTTTTAAAAATTGTATTCCCTTGAGCTCCCCTCTCTCTCAACCTTTCATTCTCAGTGAGTAGGTTTGGACAAGGTCATGTTATTCAACAGTGTAGTCACCCTTTCACAGAAAATATATTGTAATCCCAATGCCCAGCTTGTCTAATGATATTAGTAAACCATTTATAAATTCCCTAGGAACAACAGGCAGCAGCAGTCTGTTAAACCACCCCAGAGGGT